TATTGCAAAGGGACCTCATTTCTCAGCTCTTTAAAGTGGACCCTCATCCATTAAACAACTTCTCTCCCCTACCGCTTACACAACTGCATGGAGGTACCCCCTACAGCAAATACCATTTTTAAAGGCTTTACTTTGTTCATCCTTGCCTATGACATATCCGGCCCTGGCTGCCTCTAAGAATGTCTAATTCACACATGCCAGGAAGCAGTCTGTGAAATCTCGCGCACACGCAGTCATGCCACCAGTGTTTTGTGGGTTCCTGGCAGCAGACCGCCCCGGGTCTCTTCCAGGTTTATGGGACTAAAGCTGGCCACACACTAGTACAGGCAGTCCCTGGGTTACGAACAAGATAGGTTTGTTCTTAAGTTGAATTGGTATGCAAGTTGGAACAGGTACATTTTTTTTTTTTTAAGTGCAACTCCAGCCAAAACTTTTTTCGTTTTGGATAATTACCCCCTGTAAAGTTTGTTTTGCTGTGTGTGCCCCTGTTCAGAAATTTTCACCTCACTTTCTGTCCCTGAGACAATTGGATTTTAGGGCTGCAACAACTAATCGACATAATCGATTATAATCGATTAAGGATTTTGTAAATTTTAGGTTGTTGTGGAAACAAGGATTAGTGATAAAGCTTCAGTGATGACACCTTTTTCCCATGATCACGCTTAGGCCCCATTCACACTCCGCGATATGCAAATTGCGCGATATCGCGAGATTTGCCGAGCGATATCGCGTTCAAGTTTGCATTGAGCAAGCTTGAATCGCGGCTAAATCCGCTTTAAAAAGGGTCCTGCTGTAGCCACACACAACCCGCGACAGCAGGAACCTTTGGCCCATTGAAATGCATTGAAGAGCGATATCGCGCGGAAATTTGCCACGATATCGCAGGAATTACCGCGCGATAAATCGCTCAATGTGAACGGGGCCTTACAATTCCCGTGGTCTCAAGGACAGGAAGCTTGATTAAATCTTTCTAATGAGGATACAGACAGCAGTAAAAACCTCACAGTGACCCGGAAAAAGAGGCGGGCAGCCCTCAGCTGCACGCCTAACAAAAGCCAACTTCCTGTAATGTACGTACAGTACTACAAACCAGACCCAAAAAGGTGGGCACGAGCACGGTAGCATTACAACTACCCCTGCTGTACAGTAATAGCCTCCGTATGTAAGTGGGAGTCGTATGTAACTCGGGGACTGCCTGTATTTCTGAACGAAAGACCTTTCTTTACCACCCAATAATGCCATCGGAGACTTTACAAATGCCAAATGAAATTTTGCTTTATTTTACTATTCAATTTTGGAATGAATGGAGTTTCCTGAATGAAAACATTTCATTCATTCGAGAATTTTTTTTCCATCCAGCCCCTTTGACTTTTTTCATTACTATGGTCGAAATCGATGATCAATTTGACCCCATCAACTAATAGAAACTTGAATGACAGAGCTTTCTTATGAAAGCTCCTTCTAAAATTCCCTAGTGTATGGCCACCTTAAGCCATGCCTTCTTGTTGTGGCAAGAAATACGCTAGCACAATGGCCACAGAAAATTAAAGGACAACCTGCAATTCTGAAGCCTGTGCATAGTAAAAGGTTAACCTAACACTACAGCTTGTACCTGCCTAACCTAATTTATCATGTTAATTTACTAAACTTTATCTCTAGAACCTGACAGTCACTGAAACATAGCGACACCACTCCTCCACTGCTTGCAATGTAGCAGTAACATTGTCATTCTGCCTTGTGGTGCTCATATAGATGGACTACAGCAGGGGTAGGCAAACTCTGGCCCTCCAGCTATGGTAAAACGACAAATCTCATCATGCATCTGTCTCTGGGAGTCAGGCCTATGGTTGCGAGTATCTTGAAATGCCTCATGGGATTTGTAGTTCCACAACAGCTGGAGTTTACCCACCCCTGCACTACAGGCAGCTGTGCTGACACATAGCATACCTATAGTCTCCCTATTGTCAGTATACATTAAGCTGTCAATCAATATTTGTCATGCCCTCTATAATGCCCTGTCAAGGTAATTGACAGAGATTTTAGCGATGTATTGGAGGCCATGTCTCAATGCTGTCTAGCAGTAGAAGGATGAGCTAGGATGCCGATGTTCTATCGAAATGGCCAACTCGTCGTCACGTCCGGTGACTTGCCAGTAGGAGATTTCAAAGAGCTGGCGCAGCAGTGTCAGAATCCTTGTCGAGTTCAGTGCCCCTGCGCAGCTTCACAACCTTCGTCGAATTCTCCAACTCCCGTCAGTGTGGCTGCGCGCCCACCCACAGCCAGTATCAAGTTCTCCAATTAGCGTTACTGTGCCTGCGCGCCCACCTGATGGCATAACATGATATTCTGTCAGCAGAAGATGCTCTCCGATTGGCTGCCTTTGCTTTGCAACAACGAGGATTGTGAAGCCGCACAGGCCCACTGACAGTAAATTGACAACTCGCCGAGGATTCTGACACGGCCGAAAGTTGGACGTTTCGACAGGATCCCGGGACTTGAAGCTCCTGGCACTGTGGTGACATCAGAGAGTGATGCTGCAGCTCAGAGACACTGTTTAGGTTGTTAGGGTCAGTGATGTTCTACCGTGTTTCCCCAAAACGCGGTAGAACATCACCTACCCCGAAAGTAAGACCTAACACTATTTTAGAGGATTCCTGTAATACAAGACATACCCCGAAAATAAGACCTAGCTTGGTGGTAGCATGTACTTTACCGCGCTGTCCACTGTCCCCACTGCTGCACCGCTAGTATCGCTGTCCCTGATGGAAAAGGAAGCCGGCGCTGTAGAAAGCAAGCAGAAAGCGGCGGCGGAGGGAGCAGAGCCTCATCAGCTGCTACTTCGTTACTGTGACAGGCGGAGTGATACCAGATGCACTCCGCCTGTGAAAGAACGGAATCTGCTTTACTGGCCAGTAGGAAAAGATATAGAGCAACAGTAATATTCTAATTCTTACCATACCATTAAGGTCAGTAAATAAAACAGTGGGCATTCGGACATTCTGAAGTGAAAAAAATAAAAAAAAATAAGACATCGCCGAAAATAAGACCTAGTGTGTTTTTTGGGGGCAAAAAAAATATAAGACAGTGTCTTATTTTTGGGGAAACATGGTATATCTAATTTAAAGAAGGTGAGCAGAAAGGTGCCAAATACAAATCCACCAATCATGATTCAGAATGAGATAATCGGACTACTATAACCCAGTATGATTGGTTTATACATTGTATTGGCCTCTGCACTTCCTTGTTGAGCCTTTTATCATGTGTAAATGATTCTATGGGACACATTGTCAACATCATGGTTCTTGTTACATGTCAGTTCTTATTCAGGCCTGACTGCATTCACCTCCTTAAGCAATAGGGAAGCTTCTTGTGAATGTGCAGATTTGCTGTAGTATGGATATATAGAGCAGGCAGTAGACATCAGCACTAAACCCCAAGTAGCTGGCTATATAAAAACATCCACATGCACGCCTGTCAAAGCAATCAAAGCGTGTCTGCTTGACATCTAATGTGGGTATACATGTATAGCTTAGGTAATATACTGGCCTGGGCTGTATAAAACAAATGGAACTTTGTGCCTATGTTATGAATCATGAGGAGGTCACAAGGCTGGGATTTTTCACAAACAACCGAAACCTTATGTATAACCAATGTAAATACAAAATATGCCACAAGCATGCACCGTAGTGCCATCAACACTGCTCGTATCAGCAGGAAACAAACATGCAACAGAATTCTACAAACAAGCAATGGCAACAATAAAACAGCTACTGTGCACCACAATTACTACTTGTATATTAGTAAAGAACCAGGCCTGCCACCACAGGCTCAGCTGCCTATTGCTGATATAAGAAAGTCAGATATAAGGGCTCACACACAGGTGTCATTAAATATTCACATCTACACTGGATCATGCTGGAAGAAAGATCCAGTGTGAAAAGGCGTGTAACGGCGCGTAAAGCACTTGCGTTTATGCACGTATGATCCGTAAATTCATTCTAGCACATTGAATATGCATGAAGCCTTGGAATAGCTACCGTAGTAAATGAAGGCAGGCCAGCAACGGTCGCCCCTACACAAGCAGGCCAGCAACAAACACCCATTACACAAGCGGACCGCTAATGATTTCCACCCCAAAAGCAGGCCAGCAATTAACCCCTCCACCCAGACAGGCCAGCAATGATCCTCACCACTAGAATGACCAGCAATGCTTCCCCCTACCTACACAATCAGGCCAGCAATGACACCCTCCCCTCAGGCAGCCCAGAAACTTTCAGTGACATCCTGCACCCGGGCAGGCCAGCAATGATGCCCTGCACCCAGGCACAAAGCAATGCTTCTCTCTACACAAGCAAGTCAGCAATGATCCCCCCAGGCAGCCCAGAAACCAGCAGTGATCCCCAGCACTCAGGCAGGCCAGCAATGATCCCCTCCCCCCAGGCAGCCCAGAAACCAGCAGTGATCTCCTGCCCCCAGAAACCAGCAGTGATCCCCTGCCCCCAGGCAGGCCAGAAACCAGCAGTTATCCCCTGCCCAAAGCAGGCTAGCAATGATCCCCTCTGCCCAGGCAGCCCAGAAACCATCAGTGACCCCCCTCTGCCCAGGCAGCCCAGAAGCCAGCAATGATCCTCTGCACCCAGCAATGATCCCCTCCCCCCAGGCAACCCAGAAGCCAGCAGTGATCCTCTACACCCAGGCAGGCTAGCAATGATCCCCTCTGCCCAGGCAGCCCAGAAACCATCAGTGACCCCCCTCTGCCCAGGCAGCCCAGAAGCCAGCAATGATCCCCTCCCCCCAGTCAACCCAGAAACCAGCAGTGATCCTCTACACCCAGGCAGGCTAGCAATGAACCCTTCTTTCCAAGCAGCCCAGAAACCAGCAGTGACCCCCACCACCCATGCAATGGTCACGCTAATACTATACACAGATGACATGCTGACAACATGCAGGCAGCACCTATGGAGACAGCCCCGCCCCCCTGTCACCGGCAGCACACTCACTCAGCTGTCCCCCAGTGCTGGGGTTGGAGATGCCTGTGGAGGGTGGTGCCGCGGCAACCGTCGGTCTCTCGAAGTTTCCCGGGTTGGAGAAATAATCCCGTAGCCTTGGCAGCTCCCGCCCGGTCTCCAGCATTTCAGTGTGCAGCTCCAGGGCTGTGAGCAGCAGCTGATCCCGCAGCAACTGCGCCGCCACCGCATCCAGCGGTACCCGGCCCGGCTCCCCGGACGGCAGGGCATTACTGAGCCGGGGCCCGGCCAGCTGCAGGCAAGGGGGGTCGCTGTCATCCGCGGGATAGCGGCCGGCGAGCGGGGGTCCCGGGCGGCCGTCTATTGGAGAGACATCTTCTTCCTCGTTATCTGCATCATCCTCCTCCTCCTCTTCTTCTTCTTCCTCCTCCTCTTCTTCTTCTTCAGAATCACTCAGAAACGGATTCACACTGCTGCTACTGGTGCTGGGACCTACGGGGCCCGCGGAGCCGGCGGGGACACCCGAGGAGCCGCCCGGGCCTGAGCCTGATGCAGGGGCCGCCATCTTTGTAATGAGGCGGAGAAGGGGGAGGAGGCGAGAAGCTGCACAAGGACAATATACTACATGAGAGAGAGAAGGAGGGAGGGGGACAGCTCCTGTCACATTGATACTCAACATGCACCTCCCAGCTGCTGGGGAACGGCAGTGTACTAATGGAGGCTGCAGTGTAATAAAGATTATTAGACATGATGAATGAGAGGGTGACATGTCATGAGGGACTGGGATAGTCACTGGGAAGAGAAATAGGGAACTGCCTGTCATGGCCAACATGGAGAATCCCACAATATTCAATGGTGCCCCTTCACCATACCCCCTAACTGTGCTTCATGTAAGCTCCATTCACACATAGCGTTTTGAATTCAGCATGTTTTCTCCCACGTAAAAACGCACACACAAAAATGTGCACATTTTAATAGACGCACTTTTATTCGCGCATTTGCGGCTACAACCACAATCTTTTTGGGACAGAACGCGCTGTAATCAACCATTCTGCGTTTTTGTACATGCGTGGGAACGAGCCCCATAACAATGTATTTTTGGGTTGTGCGCAGAATGTGTGAATGGAGCCTTACAGGGACTGTCCATAAAATGCTAATGTGTGAATGGAGCCTTCGTTATAGACAGATATGGACCTCTAGGCCAGCCTTTCTAAACGTGTATTCAGTCACTGAACCCTTTACAAGTCCAGGAAATCTCGAGGCACCCCAGTCTAAAATGTAAAAACAAGTCTGGCCCCTCCAAAATCCATACTAGACCCCTTTGCCAAAATCCATATTAGACCCCTCTGGTATGAAGCCCCCTCCTTAAAATCAAAACCCCCCTTCACCTCAGAGTCTCCCTCCTTTCACATCAGAGTCCCCTTTACATTAAGAGCCCCCCTTTAAATCAGGAAGCCACCATCACTTCAGAACCCCGCCCCCTTTCACAACAGATTTCCCCTTCTCACACAAGAAGCCCCCCTTCAATCAGAGTCCCTCCTTACACATAAAATTCCCCTCTTTCACATCAGAGTCTCAACTTTTCACATCCGGGTCCCACCTGTACATCAGAAGCCCCCTTTCACATCAGAGTCCAACCTTTACATCAGAAGCCCCCCTTTTCACATTAGTTTCCCCTCCTTACACACCAGAGACCCTCCTTTACATCAACCCACCTCTTACATTAGGAGCCTCCTTCACATCAGGAGACCCTCTTTAAATCAAGAAGCCCCCATCACATCACACCC